GCAGGGAGGTGCTGGCAGACTTTCGAGGCGGCTCCTCCGTCTCCGGCCCTCTCTGAAGAGAGCGTTTCTTCGCCGAGTCACCGGGGTTTTTTGGTACTCATAGCTATAAAATCCAACAGGCTGTAAGAAAAAAGGCTACATACTGAATAGGTTTTATAAAGCCTAACTTGATTGTCTTTGGTTTTATCTCCAGGTTAGGTTAAGTGGTTTTAAAATGCTGGCCTGTCTTCAAACGAACATCTGTAACTACGTGGCTCATGTTTTAGCTGGTGCAAACGCACAGAGGTGCTTAGAGCCTAATCCAGAAAGAATTTGACTACCTTGGTGCTGGGCCTCACTTTTGGTTGGAGGGAGTGGGAAGTACAGCCCTAAACCTGACTCTTTTCCTGACCGCTAAGGCACAGGTGATATTGCCCCTGTGGAAGGAGAGGGATGTTACACAGTGGGGGAAAAGCTGCAGAGAGAGGCCGGAGCTCAGGGCTCCTGTAGTTCGGTGCCTTGCATCTCCGCCATGTAGTTTATGTTGCTCTGGTATTCAGAGCAGAAACTAGGCTCTCAGCTGAGTGCCTTTCTTTATAATCCTGTTCTGTTAAGGGTTAAAGTCAGTTACTGGGACACTTGGTAAGCACCTTATGTGCAGAGGGGACCGTGCAAGGGTCTAGTAGCAGTTGTTCAATGTGCAGCTTGGGGGGGGTTTGTTTGCTTAATATTACAGCAAAAGATGATATACTGTTTACTCCTTAGAGTTTTATAAACAATTTAATAGAAACTAACTTTGCATCTCTGCACCTGACCAACTCCAAGTGGCCAGGGAAGCCTATGAAGTAAGTTGTTAGATGGTCAGGATTTGCAAACCCGCGTATACCAGGATATGTACTCACTTTAACTAAATACAGTAAAGCTAATTCTGACGATTTAACTGTAGCAAGCTGTGTTGGAACCAGGGGCATTTTAAGTGCATATGTGATAAACACCAACTTGGAGTGACTGGCACTTTGCCTGCATAGAGGAATGCAGAGCCTCGATGTAGGTGTTTGGGTGTCTTTCTTTACTAGTGGTATGAAAAAGGCTTTGGTGTCTAGAAAAAAAGGATCGCAAAAACAATTTAATTCCCATTCCTCTTGGGAATAGGAAAGGCACCTTATATGCTGCAATAAGATAATTCTTATCTGAGATCATTCCTGGAGTTACACGCCTAAGAGCAGACATTACTCATCCTACCGGTTATAGCAGGTAACATCTTTCCCAAGATGAAAACTTACTTCCCAAGTCCTGTTCAAATTCATGTGCTGTATTGGTCTGTGTAGTGGGATAAGTAATCTACCACTTCCTGTTCAAGGGCTGTAGGCACTTCTGAGCCTACCTGAAAGTGAACCGTCAAGCACACGTGGGATTTTTAAGCACTTCAGGAGTCAGGGGAAGATGAATGAGAGCTCTAGTTTGTCCACACAGAGGCCCTGGGTGCAAAGCCCTTTGACTAAATCTGGTTTAGCAGAATGGGCCTAAAAATAATCAAAATGTTGAACTTCCAAACTCCAAATTCCAAACAGAACTAAATTCAGAGTATCTGAGTTACTCTGTAAGGGGAACTCCTGCAAATGAAGTTGTTACCATATTCTAACATTATACTTCATCACTAAAATTAAGCGTACCTAAACACTTATACATCACTGATGCCATATCTTGATAGAAGTATTTGGATGGCATTGGCAAGGCTTCGTATCAGAAATGTTTCCTGCCCCATCCCTGCCGAGAGCAACAGGGAAAGTACACTGACACTGAATACTGAAGTGGATCCTTTGTGACAGATAATTCAACAAGGGAGGGGCAGAAATCAAGATAGTAGTTGAGGGGGAGGAGAATGTTCCACAACCAGTTTCTTTTAAAAAATAATATTTGAATGCATAAGACTAGTACTGCTAGACAAACTGCATGATGAATTCTACTGGAGTAAAACATGAAAGAAATACAAAAGCTGGAGAAAGTAAGCTCATGCTTTCCAGAGGCAATGAGATATTTTAACTCTTTAGGGTCTGAAGAGTACAAAAATATTAGCAGATCTTTCCGTTTGCACTGTGGTCTTTGCTGAACACTGGGCATCATGAGTGCTCTCTTTCGGTGTGAGTTTTATTAAAAGGCAAAAGTGCATAATCAGCTTTAAAGATGAAGAACTTCTTACATCTATCTTGCCACACTTTTAGATACGCAGCTTTAAAATGTTCTATAGCTTTTTCAAGCCATTCTGATGTATGGTGGAGGTCTGGATATGTCTTCCTCTGTGTCCAAGTCTTGAGCAGGAAACTGAACTGGGGAATTAAAAATGCTGTTCCCAGGACCTGTATGTGGAAGGAAAGGAAGAAATCATTAAACCCAGGATAGCTTCTTGGACCAAATCCCGAGCTCCTTTTGGCTCAGAGTATTTTGGCTATCAGGAGTTTGGCCTGTGAGGTAAAGCTTATCTGGGATGTTCCTACCTCGTCCCTGGTGAGTATCTAAATACATGGATGGAAAGAGTTACTCACTTGGTACAGCACAAACCATTTCCACAGCCTGAATTTGGTCCTCACTAGGTTGCAACCATTCCTATGAATGAAAAAATGCCATCAAAAAAACTCTTTCTGTGGGTTTGTTCCAAAAGATGCATCTGAACTCACGTAACAAGTCTGTGTACTTCCCTCCTTAAAACAAATTGAGTTTGAAAGTTTGAAGCAGCCTTACATCGCGCACTTTCAAACACTTGGTATCTTAGTCAAGAAAAGTCTTTGGAAATGCTGTACTCTGGTGCAGTCATTGATCTAAGGGGGAGAGGGGAAAGAGACGTGTTTAAGTAGGGGAGCAGGAATTCATAGGAAATGGCACCACGCTATCTTAAGCGCTAATGGTTTCAAAAATGGAGTTAAACCTTCATTAGGTCTTATGCAACACTGCGAATAAGAGGGGAGGAAGTAAAAGGAAAAATACAAAAACTATAAATGCCTTCTAACATCACCTTCACTTCTTCAAATTAGCCCTGGATGACTGGGTAAGGTCAGGTAAGACTTATAGCAGAACATGTATCTTATCCTCAGCTTCTTCCCCTCCCAACCACATCCAATACAAATAATTTAGCGCTCCTGAGCTCCTCACTCACCATTCCAGTTACGCTGTCGTAGCACGAGCAGTGTGGAAGACTTCGGCATCCCAAGTAAGCAATAACTAACACAACAAATGTACTGCAGACAGATGCAATTAACATTACTATGTTGGCACCCTTGACAACTTTATTAAGTACGTACTTCTGCAAGCAAAAAAGCAAATGTTAAAGCCACATCCTGAAAAATAGGCTGAAGCTCTCCATCTGAAATATTCTAAGTACTGCAAGAATGTTGCAATTACATGTTAGGGTATTGATTTAAAGTCAGTCTTACTTAAGGCTTTTCTTTCTATTCTCTGAAGGGTAAATGAAAGGTGAAACTCGAGTAAGAAAAAAAGCAAGCAGAAAGATAAAGTTTCTTATTAAAATTAAGACGCCATGCTGCAGTGTCAGGTTTGGAAAATAGTTGCGCTCTGGTTGTACAACTCTGTAAACGAGTTGTACTCATTTAACAACGAATATAAATCCATGGAACGACTGTTCCTCCTCACGTTGAGTCTGAAAAACCTTACCATCCTGATATTTGAAGTTGTCTTGCAATAAACTAATGAATAGCATCATCTACCTTGAGCCACGTCATCCCCACAGGAAGGCATAGCTTGTACCAGGTTTCAGGTACAACAGGGCCAACTCACTCCTTTTCCAGTTTACTCTGTGGGATACTCTTGAAATAATATCTTTTTTCAATCAGCCTTTAGTCAGTTTATCTCCCGAGATGTATGCTGAAATGAATTCAAGAGCCTAGCTACTGCTGCATGAAACGAGGCCGGGGATACCTCTGGCAACTATCCGTTTTCATGACCAGTACCATGACTTTTTTCTAGAACAAAACAATTTTTTGCAATCAGCAACAGCAGACTTTAGCGTGCTTGGGTGCACACCTAGTTCACGCGTGGTAGGAGGCTGTACAAAAGTGTGTCATTGCACGTAGGCCAGGCCATAGGAGAAAGCAGGTCTGCGACACTGCCCGCAGCTTGGGTTCCCAGCTCGAGAGAAATGCTATTGCCCTCAAACAATTGCTTCTCAGGTGTCAGCCACAGCTCAGAGGGACACCCAGGCTGGCTGTAGGTTATTTCGTAGGACACTGATACTAGCAACACTGCAGCAGCGCTGAACGGCAAGAGCTAGCTATAAAAATCTACTTAGACCTATGTAGTTTTTTTTTTTTTTTGGGGGGGGGGGGGTTGGTACTTAGATTGCTTGCTACTTAACCGCAGACTCATCCCAAAATTAAATTTTTAACAAGTACCCCGCTGCAGGCACCACTTTAAATGGTAGTTTAGGCATACTGTAGATCTTGTTCTAATTCCAAGTAATGTCTCAGTAACGTCTGCAGATTAAGACAGTCACGTTCACCAATAATAAGCATAACTGATACTTACTGTATGGACAGCATGGACTGGTACAGGACTTAACTCCTCCTCTTCACCGTAGCTCAAAGTTAGGGAGCTATAAACAATTATAATGAGGATGGTAACACAAGAGATTATGGAAGCAGCTATCACTGCATTCACCTACACAGAAAAATTAAAGGAAAAAGAGAAGGCGAAAAGGATTAGAACTATCCTCCGACAAATTAATGCAGGTATAAACGAACAAAATATATTAACAAGCGTTGCAGGCACTAGCCTTTGGTCTCCCATAACACTAAAAAGTATCCTATAGGACAGTCACATGGAAGCCAAACACCAGTGCAAGAACGGTTTCCATGATACAGCACTTACAATTTAGCGTCAAATCTTAACCACAGGTGCTAGTTGGAGCAAAAGTTTTGTTCTTACAGTTCACTGATTCATAAACAATATATTCCTTTGGAGTTTACACAGCTAGAGGGAACTCTCTAGGGAATGCGATAGTCAATTAACGTCTTATTTCAGTGTATGCGCGTCTTAATAACTGGAAGGAATACACACAAAATGTATTCAAAAGTGAGCATTTTTACAGTTTGTTGTCGTCGTTGTTTCTAGAGCCAGAGCTCATGTTCTGCAGTAGAAAAAGTGAGGTAACGCTGCATTCTCATTTTGCCTAAGAACTTAGCAGCTTTTATGCGGATAACTCAACAAAGTAAGTTCTCAGTCCTGCAGCAAGAACCAACTAATTTGTTTCCTACCGAAAGCGTGCTTGATTGCCTCTAAAAACATTTTGCCCATGCCCCATACGCACACACACAAACCCCCAAACCTTACAAGAACTGGATTCTTCCTCTGAGAGGAAAACAAAGCCAGAACGCCTGGGACGCCCATGACCTGCAGACCAGAAAAGCAATTAGTAGCTGGGAGACAAGCATCAGCTTCTGCAGATAAACTACGGAACAGATGACAGGCCCTCGTTTTCAAGGCTCCTATCGGTGTAACTGTTAGATCAGAAAGTGAAAGAAGGAAGAGAAGTGCTGATTTCTTGTACTTTCCTCTGAAGCACCTCTTGGTGGCTAGTACTGGCAGCAGGATCCTGGACTATGTGAAATTTGTCCTGTCTATTAGCCGCACCCTATGACAGCAATCCTCAGGCTGGCTTTATGGCCCTGGCCATGTAATAGAACTGAAGTCTGACTAAAGTACTAAAAATCTGCACTGCTTTACCGGTCACTAAGCATCTTGTAGGTGGAAGAAAGTAGACTGAAAAGAGCTGGGCAGCCTCTGGGTGAGAGAGAGAGAGAGAGAGCGCACCAGTGCAGCCATGCTGCATGGGCAGGGCGCGAGCAGCACCACCGGGGTAGCAAACACGAGGGGCCCCACCTCCCACCTTCCCAGAGCACCTCAGCAAAAGGCACTTCCAAGTAAAATAAAAAACAGTAGGTCGTATTCAAAACTCAGTAGAAACTATTTGATGAGGTCAAACGTGTCATAAAGGCCCCGAGGGAGTGAAACTGGCCAGTCAGTCCCAGTCTTCTCTTTCCCGCTGCGTTTCATATGGGGAAGTAAGCTTTCGTTGTGCTACTTCTCCTTATGCCATTAGAGATAAAAGCTAATGATAACCTCTCCGTTTTTTTACTTCCCCAGGTGTTAAGCTTTCCTTCACAGCTCTCTCCAGTGTAACTAGTAGTTCCTTAAGCTACTCAAATATTTTAACTAGTGTTAAATGTGAGCATCTGAATTATTAGAAGTTCAAGCACTGGAATAAACAGCAGCCCTTTTAATAGGGCAAAGATTTCTTTCCTTTTTTTTTTTTAAGCACCCCTTTACCACTGTCACACGTGCACAGTTTCATGCTGGGTTTCTGGGGGACCCTGTTCTTTTGGCCAAGCCGTCCAACTAAGGCTGAATAAACAGACAGTTGTGCATTAACGATTTCAAGTGACTTTGATACAGCACTTAATATCTCCACTTAGTTATCCTGTAAACATCTAAGATTAAAACAATGAATTTGAGCTGCTGAGACTATCATAAAGCATAGACACCCAATTCAAACGGGGGGGACAGCACTGTTCCTAGGTGCAGTACACAGCCTTCTTAGCCGTGTGCTCCGTTACACGGATTATCACTGCGAGGTTAATCCACACGATGCACATACCGTGTTGGTCTCGACAGTCTACAAGTGCTCCCTCCTAATCTTCACTGACCTTTCTTTGGTGACTATATTTCTCAGGGGTGGGGAGGGGAAAACCCCAAACCATCAATTTCCAGGACATCCCCTTTTCTATATGAGCCAGTAGAAATTGTTTTCCTCTAACTCCCTCAGAGTTAAGGGGCTTTTTGCAGCAGTTACCCACTCTTCTGCCTTTAGCATAGCAAGGAAACCTTTATCAGCTGGGTTGAAAGCAGGAAGCCAGGGAAGAGCCAGCAAGGATCCCCCTGGCCCCCAATCTCAATACTAATGGTGGAGGTGGAAAGGAAACCCAGAACGTAGAAAACACTGTGCAACTTTACCATTCCAGCCCAAATTGGTGCTCTGGTTTTGCTCAGCAGAGATTCTGCTCTGAAAACGCCATCTATGAACCCGCTGACAACACACACCGTACTGAAGGCTATCTGGAAGAGCCCCAGCGCCACCATGTTCCTCTGGTTAAAGATGAAGTAGCGGTAGCGATCCATTCTGTTTTAACTCATGCATGAATCCACACGCACGGGGACTGGAAAGAAGTGCTGTGATCCTGCAGAAAAAGGGAGAATGATGACCCTTCCGAAGCAGAAGAGAAAAGGTACAAGAGCATCGGCACTTCAGCAAGCATCATCTGACAGATTCCTGGCATGCCTTGCCACGAATAGCACGGGGAGCCACGGTACCACCCGTTCCACACCGAGTACGGAGTTCTTCTGGGTTTCTGACCGGCAGCAGCGACAGTGAGCAAAGGCGAACGATCTCCATGCTACTACCAACCGGGGCCTACGGCACTGTTTCGGCCGTTTCCGCATCCAGGCATGTGATCCTCCCGTCCGACTCCACGGCTAATCTTTCTTCTTGCGGGCTCTCAGCAAGGCAGGAGCGCTCCAGCTTACTTAGACTTCGTTCCTTCTGGCAGATAAGCTCTGCGGCTCACCAGGAAATATGCGATTACCTTGCGGTGACCCAGGCAAGCTACTCGTAGCTTTCTCCACAGGATGCCCCTTGCAGCGCGCACGCGGACGGCTCAGCCCGCTGTGGTGGCGGCACCGGCACCTTTAACCCCTTTTCCAATGCTCAACTTTTTCCCCCCTCGCTATTGCGCTTGGGGGAGCCCCCGTGGGCTGGGAGCTGCGCTCCCCCGCCCTGCGCGGACCCAGCTCCGCC